TTATGAGAACCTGATCAAACATCCAAGGTACCTGTTTCTGTTCCTCAAGATCACAGACCTTAAACTGGTGCAGTGTATTCAAACCATGATATAGCTCCACACCAATGCTAATCGTGTTGAACAAAAAACATATTGTGGCTTCAAATTCTGTCATGTGGTGCACAAAGCATTAAAAATGCTCTAAATGACTTAACTTCCAGATACTTAATGATGATAAAAGAAACTATACTTTTATCAGAGTTCCACTATTAACTAACCACAGCATTCAGATGATCGAGGTGAGTCTTTATTTGACATTTGTAGCAGATTTCCCCTAATGATCTCTTTAAAGGCGCGCACATGAGGATTTCTACACCAACAGACATAACCTGTTCATATTCTCAAGAACTACGTCAGCACAAAGGTTTGGTAAATAAATGTCTTAAGTAAACAAATGTAAAGAGGCCACAGGTCTGCTGTGATAACCTCCATCTCCAGATGGCAGACTGCCGTTAAAGGGAAGGGAAACGTGAGACAGATGAGTGGAAGGGTCAGACGTCAGGAATGAGGAAATCCCACCCTTTGCCCAAGCAGATAGAGAACAGGAAGCAAAGCCATTTGCATACAAATTCACTCTCTTTGGAGCAACGTGTAGCTCAGGGAGAGCACGTTAAGAGCGTGGGAGGAGACCTGCAGCCCGCTGATGGTTGGTGGTTACTACGTGCCCGATGGCATTCTTAGACGGCAGGGGGGCAATGATAAATAGGAAGCATTCAGAACATACTCCTTAGAATTTAATTTTCTGAATGTGGAGCAAGGAGGCGAGAAGGAAAAGAAACACTCAGTTGGATCGACATGTCTGCAGCTCATATTGAGAGTTCCAGGGAGCAGCTACCAAATGCAAGTTTCCTTAATTTCACGTAGTTGAATGCAAAAGGCCATAAAACTTAACCACTTTTCCAGTTACCTTTAATCCTCTGAAAATGGTGAGCTGTGTTGTAATTCCTTAGGTTAAACCCCTTAAATTATGACTGAAATCAAATTTTAACTGGTTGATTTAAAACCTGCTGTGGCGAATTGTATCAGTCCAAATACTTGGCTCTGATAATAAAAGTTGAACATAAACAGAGCCTGATGAACAAGAGTGTTTAAATTAAAATGTCTCCGATTACTTTGAATGTCTGTAATACGTTAATTATTCCAATACTTTTGTGCAACCGTTTAGTTTATGCTGAAAATTGGTGGTATTGTCCAAATACTCACATACTTCAATGTATTATTAACATACATATAGTGCAGTTCAATTTCCTCTACGGCCCAAATGAAAAAAAACCTCTTTACTTCATTTTCTGCTACATTAAGCAAACATTTCCACTTTAAATTTCTACCTTACTGATGCGGTGACCTGTCCCAACAAGGGAATAAATAAATACCTAACAACTACCAACTGACATTAAACACTTGCAACACTCACATACCTCAGATAATGTTTGTGTAGCAAACAGATGCCGCTCATTCTTGGCCTGTGTTTGCATTTTTTAAAGCTTTGTCACTTCTTCCCAAACATTTCAAACACATTTAAAGCCGCAGATGAGTTTAAACCACAGCACACCTGATTAAAAATGAAACGTCAGATCTGAATCCTCAACAGGAGGAGCGGCCGTTAGACCCCGCTGATTTATGACCCAGACCGCCTGCAGAGTGATCACCACAGGTGATGACGATTTTCTCTCTGATCTGCCACAACACTGACGACTTTATGGCCTGTGTAATTAAAGACTTAAATACACAGTGGCCTCAGAGTTGACCCAAGCATGAAAGGGGGGGAAATTGATGAGGGTCAATCATTTCTGTAGAGCAAATGAGAAGGTACCTGCCACAGCACATAGGTGCAAATCTAAGACATAAAAGAAGTATTGACTGGTGCAGGGTTGGATGTTTCAGCCTCCTGCATACTTCAGGGAAAACTGGGAGAAAAGGGTGTTGTTGGAGTAGAGAGATTCAGTTTTGATAACGCTGCTGTTATCTGCCCCCACCTCTTTGTCAAGTGACAACAGCTGCCTGAAAGTAATGGACCATGAAGTCTTCCCTCTTGAGAACCGCGTGTATACACATTTGTACACAATCCACTAAGCTATCAGATTTCTTTTCAATTTGTTTGGTTGATATGAAAACAGACATGTTTTTGATGGCATGTTTGACCAGTGAAGGAAGCACTTTGTCTGTGTGTTTTTCCCACATAGGCATTTTTGGCTCACGATCATTTATTCACAGTAAACCCAAGCATTCTCCACAATTGTCCCTGAAATAACTCATGAAACAAACACTAACGTCCACCATATTTTCGACATAGTTTACTTATAAACTGGTGACATCTACCTTTTATTTACAATCCGACAACAGCCTCTGGTTCTAGATTTATTTCAAAGGGTCATCGTTTGCGTTTTTGCCATTCCGATGCTTCACAATAAGTTGCCATGCAAGTTTTCCGAACCCAAACATTACCATATTTGGACAAGAGAGTGGAGTGCTAACTTAGCTGGTTAAATTAATAAACATGGGTCAGAACATCTGGGCCAGAAGATTATGCACGAGTGCCTAAAACCTGCATTCTGTCTGAATGCCACCAGATGGCGATAGCTGCAGCTGCAAAGAGGTCTATAAATGTCAAAAAGAAAACAGTTTTCTGACCTCTGTAAATACATTCCTGTTGAGTTCATAGGCTCAGTCACTCATTGGGGTTTATATTGAATAAAAGAAGTCTATTTTTTATCATTTTTGTCACACAAACAGCAAAATGAAGGATCACCTGTGGTATTAATCATTGGCTAGCAAGCTGTTAATCATAATCAGTTTCACAAACCTGCCCACCTCGTCACATCCGGTTTTTTTATAACCAAGATGGCGACGGAGGAAAGGTTTGTTTTGAATCTTCAACAAACATGTGATGTCATGGTAGCTACGGTCATCTTTTGTATTAACTTTGTATTAAGAGCGAGAGAAGCTAATTAACCACAAACTAGCGAGTTCATCTGTGCAAAATCCAAGTGACAGTGAAAGAGCTAAAATAGTTTCACAAAGCAGAAAACTTCCTTTGGTTTACATCTCCACAGTGTCATGGAAAGACGAGAAGGGTTTTTTTTTTTACTCTAAATGAGGAAGGACGTCACGTCTTCAGGCTCTTCTCTCGGAAAGATGTACAAATCAAAACATGTTCGGCTGTTTATGTCACTGCGACTGAAAGAATGTAAACTGACTTTTCCCCTTACCAATTCATCAGCGTATCCCAGGATGCTTTTAGGGCGTAGATTATAATCACTTGCTGTCTATTGTTTTGTTTTCTCTCTACTTTCTCTTCAGGCTTTACCATATCAAGCAAATTACCCCATGTTTAATCTCAAACAATCGCTTTATTCAGTGTTTTAACAAGTCGTGCATATTAGGTTGTAGGAAAATACTACATATATAACTAAAAATCCAACATAAAAGTGATGATGATCGCTTGCACCTAAATGCACAAGGAGAAAATACGGCATCGAGGTCGCACTCAACCTGTGCATGTCATTGCATAAGACAGAAAGAATGAGGGTAGCCCGGGGGTGTTTGCAAGGGGAGATCTGCAAATTAATTGCAGGAGGCGATCCAAACGGATGACCTCATTAGCCATCGGTGGACAAGGAATGCTCTAAATAGCTTTTATATAAGACAACATCAAATATTTCCTGTTCTCACTCAGCTGAATATCAAAAAATTACTATCTGCTCTATTTTTTTTAAGAATTTCAATTCATTTTGCTTCAGGGCTAAAGGATAGTGCGGAAGGAATTCAAAACTCCTGCAGGCACATACACACAAATACCAGCCTGGTATGGATCCAAAGTATAAATCTTACTGTCAGTCTTACAAGTTTTCTGATTCTCTGGAAATACTCAAAGAAACATGAGCACATAAAGCATCAAAGGTCTAAGTATTCCTGTTACTGTGTATGACAGAGGTGGGCCTCCTTCTTCCCAGCAGAGGGCCAGACTGGCTGAGACTCAGCAGGAGAAGAGTCACATACTGAAGTCTATGACAAAGCTGGTACCGTGAATTACAACAGACAGCAGTCACACCCGGACCAGTGTTAACTTGTAGCACCGCTGGTATGTTTGCAGTAATATTGGCAATCCTGACAATGTTTGTGGTTTCTTTGCCAGACAGCCTGCAGATTTGCAGCTGGCTTTGATTAACTGGAGCAAAGCCGTACTGGCTGGGGGTTTCTTTGACTGTCTTACCAGGTTTGAAATGTTGTACCTACTTTAGCATCAACATCACTGCCTGCAAAGTAGAACTGAGTGATCCAGGAGATGTGTGGGTTACACCATTCAAGGGTTTGCTGTGTGAATGATTAGAAAACTGATCCAAAATCCAGTCTCTAATCATCGGCATCATTCAGACTAAACTGGTGCAGTTTACTGAAACTCTATCCCATGATAGTGATACTCCAAGAAAAAAAAACCGTTTCTTCTAAGCCGACCTTAGATGTTTTGTTAGCGCTGGAAATTTCCTGTGGACATCACCATTACTTATGAGATTATGAGGACCTGTACACCTCCAGGACACTGCGGCGTGCAGCCCGGATCTCAGCTGACCCTTCTCACCCTGGACACAGTCTGTTTGACCTGCTCCCCTCAGGCAGGAGGCTCCGGTCCATTCGCACCAGAACCTCTCGCCATAAGAACAGTTTCTTCCCCTCTGCTGTTGGACACATGAACAATAACCACATGACTGTTCCCACCACTAACACATGACCCTACGCTGTGTCACTGCATCATTTCATGTTTGGCACTGATCACCACCTGCACTCATGTATATATCTTTCTACGTAGCACTCATAATTCTTATTCTCATGTATATATCTCATGTATATCTCATGCACATATCTTTCTTTCTACATAGCACTTTAATTCTTATTGTTTGCACTGAAGCACCGCAGCAATTTCCTAATGTTGTAAACCTCAACATCTGGCAATAAACCCCATTCTGATTCTGATTCTGATGAGATGCAAAAATAAATGAATTAAAAGTCCCAAATTCAAACCCACTTTCATGCACTTTCAGGGCCTTTACGTCATACAATGTTTATGGTATGAAGACAAAATTTTGCATGCTACTGTACAGAAAAAGTTGTGATCCCAGCACTTATTCCACCTCTGTTTACATACTACAGTACAAACACACACTGTAACTGGGACACTTGTTAACATGCTCATTGTGTGTTAGAGGAATGAGCCTTTTCCTCGTCGCCTCTCTGACTCTGTTGCCGCGCCGATAAGAGCGCGCCCCTCTGTCTCTGCAGCATTCCAAGCATCCTGCAGCAAACGTCCGCCGCCATATTGCCGCACGAGAAGAGTCCAGCAGCAACCTGCACCCACTCCCTTTGACCCCCATCTCCCAACACTGTTCACACACACACACACACGCACACACACACACACACACACACTCTTAAGAACAATGGGACGTTCCTGTCATATGAGGGATATGGCTGGAAGTAGAGGTGGAACACACGCGAAGCACGTCTGGCATGTTCAGAGAGGAATGTGCAACAAAGAGTACATGCAGGCAGCAACAATTATGGGAAAAGTTATTATCTTGTGAAAGAAGTTCAGCAACTCATAAAAATACATATTAAATGTGACATCCATCAAGGTACAACAATGTGTGAGAAGCGATTAACCGTCTGAGTCACGCTAAACCCACATTTGAGGCCTTTTTGGTAACATTTCTAAAGCAATCTCTGACCTCCGATAAGTTCAAACATTGAAAGGATTGAAAACCTCTTTCAATGCTACAAGCTTGCAACCACTTAATGCTGAGAAATCTCAAAATCTGCTGGCAAATCAACCCAGTCTGCTCTGAGAAATCCCCACGAACCTGCACTGCCTCACCCATTCAGAGATAAGTCAGCCTTTACACAAACAATCAAGCTTCATTCTTTATTCCCGTGACAAGATCTTACAGATAGCAGAAATTCCTCAAACAAATACCCTGAATATCTCAATCCATCAAGATCAGTTGATAACTGTGAGCCGATATTCCCACAGAGGATTCACTAATTTCCATGTGTATTTGATGTCTGGTATTTCGAAGGACGTTCGGTGAGGTGTTAGACCCTCTTGTGAGCCCACACAGCTCTCTCTGAATTACAGCATATCACCAGATAACAGGAGAATTAAACTTGGCAGCTGCGCTGCCATTGACTTGTGCAGATCTGTAACCACCTGTGATGTCTCCCTCTGCTGGTTCTCTGAGGTAAAGGATGGGAAACAAGGTCAACGCACTTCATCTCTCATTTGTCTGAAACGAATCGCGGAAGTAATGAAGGACGGAGAAAGGGCCGACTCTGATGACTTCATTATAATTTCTTGCACAGTCATCAATATTCTCATCACTTTGCAGCCATCTTGAAATCCATCCACTTTGAGGGAGGATGTATTTTGAACAGTTAACGATAAAAACGAGTCAAATTTGATCAAACGTGCTTTAAAAGTTTGCTTGGCACCATTTTAGCAAAATGACAAAGTCATGCCGAGCGGTGCTGACTTCACCAGTCCAGATAGCTTTTGCAGTAATTTCTCAAAGACTTGCCTCAAAGCAAGTCCTCGAGGTGGTAGGTGTCCTCTCGTGCTGCATCAAGCTACCAGCATCAACCCCGAGAAGGTGAAAAGACTTCAGTTCGATCATCTTACAGCCTGAACTTATTTTCTGTGAATTATTACATAAGTAAATCAATTCCTCCTCCCTTTTACTTAGGCCCCTTCAAGGAATCTCAGCACATATAAAAACCTTTTCACCTCCCTCTGCAGAGAGCCAGAAGATTGCCTGCCTTGCCAAATTCCTGAGCGCTGTTTGTTGGAGCTTTAAGCGCTCATAAAGCAGGCTCACGAATACCAAAGTGAGAAGTCAGCGAGCTCAGCTGAACATCACTTCTCTTTTGTTATTGTAACATTATGAAGGCAAAAATGAAAAACACATACTTCTCGAGATTTGTTTCCCACTTTATTTCCATTCGATCAGAGCGTCCTTCACTGGGAGAGCAGTAAATTGTCCTCACGCCCCCCCTCGGCTTTTTCACCGGTGCACATGGAAGAAATTAACATTCCATCAGCTTTCTAATGATGAGGACGAAGCACGCCGCAGGGGATGAAGGTCCATGACAGCATTGGCACGGTGCACGCATTCCTGCGCTCGACGGGCTGGAGGGCCTCTGCAGACGGGTGTTGATGATGGGTTGTGTTTGTGTGTGTGTGTGTGTTTGACTCTCCCTCCATCATGGACGCAGTGTAAACGATGTGGTATTTTCTAAGTTATGACAGACGTATGGGGAGGATGGACCCTCCTTTGGCTCGCTGCATCGTCAGTCTGTCTGGATGGAAATGCAAACGTCCCATCGATGCTGCATTCCAGACAAAATAAAATATGCAGGTCAAGAAAAACAAAAAAACAAAAAACAGCAGTTTGGACCAACCGAGTTCTCCTACTCAAACTTCATCATCTTGTCCTTCTACCTGGACATCTGACGCACGTGGTGTTCGAACACATTCCTCCTGCTTCCTGAATCTTGCAGTGCAGGATTTAGGGCAGCATCTTGTCAATCACAAGGGAGGCATGCCTTAAAGCATATAAATTTAACTGCCTTCTGGACACTAAAGGGGATGACCATTTGCGAAGTAGACATCACGTTGTTCTCATTATGACCTCAAGCAACAGACTGAGCCCATAGATTTATCAGGAAAGTGTTACACAAAGCCACAGGCAAAGGGAAACACTGGCCATTTTTCCCAGACTTCAAATTAAATGGATTTGTTTTGCTACTGTGGGAGTCGCCCCCTGCTGGCCATTAGAAAAAGAAATACAGCTTCAAGGCACTTGTGCTTTCTGACTTCACTTTTCAGACCTGTAATCTACATTCAGCTTCTTCTAGCACACAGATAAACACACATTCAAGTGTAACAGCCTACAACATTTACTACAGACGGTTGTTAAGGAACACTTGGTTTAACTCGAGGCGTAAATGTGAAAAAACACTCAATCAAGGGACGCACTAACCCATCTGCGATCATTCATGATGATATAATAAAGCCCAAGAACACAGCTGGCACTGTTGTGACTCCATCACTGACCATCCTGCACTGACATCTGGGCAGACTCAGGCTCCGAGCTGCTGTGCAGGAACGTGGAGAACGTCTTGTTGTTCTTCTCCTTCATCCCGAAGATGTGGCTGTCCAAACTCTGCAGCAGCTCCTCAGTCCGTAGGTTCTCTTCCTCCAGGAAACGAGTGACCACTGTGTCTGTCAGCGATGCAGACAAAAGGTCCTAAAGAGGGGAAAAAAATGCAACTTTAGGATTCATCACCCCAAAAAACTAAACTAAATGTTACAGGACATCACTTTTGATGAGGCTCACCTCGGAAGAGGGAGAAGAAATCTCTTTATCGCTGCTGGTCAGAGAGTCTCCCGGGCTCGAGTTTTGTCCATCAGCTGCAGATTTGCTGGAGCTTAGGACCGGCACAGAGTCTCTCATGGACAGTGTTGTTGTGGTGCTGCTGCTGGAGGACGAGGAGGCAGATGAATGAGGCCTGCTACCTTGGGACTGTGGACCTTGGTTGCGGGACAGACCTGTGGACGTCTTGGACGAGGTTTGAAGTTCTTTAAAGAGCATCTGGATCTCTCCTTCATAGCGAGTGGTGTTCTCTAGAGCCTGAGCTTTTCTGACTTGCATGTTCTCCTGTGGCCTGTGACAAAACAACACCCCAAACTATTTAAATCTAATATGGAAAAAACACTTTATATCTTAGTTTTTACAAAATACTGAAAATTTTCCTCTTTTACAGGCGACCGCTGATGGAAAGTAGCCTGTCTGTGTACATATACTCGCTACCTGTTATACGTAGGCTGCTCTTGGTCAGTCGCAGCATGGCTGAGCACAGCGTGTTCATATTTATCATGACTGCTCTGATTGGAGGCCTCAAGTTGTGACTGCATCTCAGCAAGTGTCTGCCTTAACTGCCGATTCTCCTGCTCCAGGCTGCTCAGAGAAGACACATAACTCTCCCTCAGGGAGGCAAGCGGGGAGCCTCCCCTCTGTGGAGCGATGAGTGATTCAGGGGGTTAAAAGTGACAGAGGAGTGATTCGGACTTGGTAAAAAAGCACAGAAGAGGCACAAAGAAAAGGCTCCTGTCTGTAACATGAGTGATGACTGATATCGAAGCAGACAAACCTTTGGTGACTGAGGCTGCAGTCTCTGCAGCAGACCTTTCAGGTGCTGGTTCTCAGCCTGTACCATCTCCAGCTGTGCATGAGTCATCTGTGAAAGAATGAGAAAAATGTGATGAACCTCAAAGAATACAACATAATTTCACATTTGGCATAAAACAGGCTGCATTAATCTGCCGGAGATACAGAATAAATGCTAAGAAATAGCAAACCAGCCGTCAGGAAATCGAGGTTTGTGAGTAAGTGTCTTATTTATCAAAGCGCCTGTAAAAACAAGTTTATACTAAGTGCAAAGTGAAAGCAAGTGTATGTGAACACAGATGAATCCATTCGCATAAGTTAAAGATTTTTCAGCCTTTGTGATTGATTATACTCCTCATGTTGAATATAAATGTACCAATATTTCTTAGGTGGGAAACAAACAGGCTCTAGAGCAGGGGTGTCGAAATCCAGGCCTCGAGAGCTGGTGTCCTGCAGGTTTTAGATCTCACCCTGGGTCAACACATCTGAATCACATGATTAGTTCATTGCCAGGCCTCTGGAGAACTTCAAGATAGGGCTGTTCGATATAACGATATATATCGGTTGTTTCGTGGTGTCGCAAAATAAACTGTTTACGGCAATATTTTTTCATCGTTTTGATGGACACTGTAGTGGTTATATTAATTTCTTAAAGTTCTCTATATCTCTTATATTTAATATAACAACACTACAGACGGACAAGCGCCTGTTTTTATGCGTTATGGTTAGCAACAACGACGGTAACACCATCGCATGTCCACTTGTTTATGTTCCACATAAACCTTTCACAATAAAGCTCAAGATCCTGTTCAGACTTTTCAAAATAAACCGAATCACGTGAAAGAGCAGATTATTTACGGATGAGAAGTAAAAAAAAAAGAGCCGCCAGGTGCTAAAAAATAAACCTTAGACTCAAACGTTAGAACAGGCCTTTCCCCGCAGCACGCCGTGTAATAAATACTCACAAAGAAAACGGCGTCCGTTACAACTTATGTCTAAAAATGTATCGTTTCATGCATCGGTTAAAACACTCGACTCCAGCTACATGACGCCCAGCTGGAAACACTTCACGCAAGTCGAGCTGCCCGAGAGTCACAGAATTTACAGAAAATGTTACATTTTTGTGATTTATATCGTTATCGGGATGATAGAATTCTTATAGGGGGATATGAGATTTTGGTCATATCGCACTGCCCTACTTCAAGACATGTTGAGGAGGTAATTTAGCCATTTGTATGAGCTGTGTTGGATCAAGGACACATCTAAAACCTGCAGGACACTGGCCCTCAAGGCCTGGAGTTCGACACCTGTGCTCTAGAGAGCTGATTACACAAACGGAGAGCAGCAAAGGACAGGACGTTACACCATCAGCTTGTTAAGGGTCTACCATTTTTCTGGTTAAAAGCTTCAAGTTTCACTGTCCAGTCCCTGCCCAGTACAGCATTCATGCAGTCTATTAATCTATTTCATTTATAAACTTGCTGTTATTAGAAGAAGATGCTTTAAAGGGCCTTGGAAAATCTCCATTTTTAAAGGGATTGCTGCTCATAGAGGCTCGTCTGATCATTCTAGTTTTCTCTCTAGAAGAAGTCTTTACCTACATAATCACTGTTTTTGTGAACTGGCACTGCATTCAACTGAATTAACACACTTTGAGCTCAGCAGACTTCTTCTCTGATCGCTCCGCCTCATCGCGAAGCTGCTGCTTGATGCTGGACGAGGAGGCGCTCAGACTGGCGACGGCGAGGTCGCGCTCGTGCAGCTCGCTGGTCAGCTTTGACACCTCCTTTCTCATTCCCTCAACTTCGCCGCTGTGAGTCTGCCTGGCCCGCTCAAGGTCCTCTCTGAGCTGTAGATCAAACGTAGGCAGGACATGAGGTAGTGACGCAGAGCTGATGTTAAACAACAAGAACAAGAATGAAAAAAAATGAACCAAAACAAAACACAGACCCTTTTCGCTTCAGCCATAGAAGAGTCACATTCAGCTTTCAGGCTTCGCAGTTCTTGCTCCGTCTTCAAGTTGTCATCTCTCTGTTTACTCACCACCTGCAGCCTGAGTCCAGAGAAATAAAAGCAATGACTCGCACAGAAAAAAGATCTGAATGAAATCCACTGACAACTCTGTGTGCTCTGCATTTTTTTTCTTAATTTACTTCAGGTTGATTTCAGTGCATATACACATTTAAAAAGGACCACCGAGGTCCAAAGACATTCAAAAGCTACATTGCATAAATATTCAATATTCCCACACAAGGACTAAAAAATATTAGCATCACTCTGCAACTTTTTGCTCCCACGGTTCCTTTTCTCCTGATAGCTACATCCTAAAATACGTCTGATTTGGAGAAAAGTGATTCGGTCTGTAATTTTTCTTCTTGTGATATAAATCAGGCGCACCCCATTCCCACTCACTCACTATTTGCTTCAGCACAAGACAGGACTAAAAGGAGTAAAAGACTAAAAAACTAACTTGGGTTTTGCACTACATGAAGGGGCGGACTAACATTACCTCTCTTTGAGACATGCCAGTTCAGCCTTGAGATGACCCTGATATGCTTGGGCACCTTGGAGCTTGGCTGCAGTCTTCTCCAGCTCTCGTCTGAGGATTTCCACACCGGTGCAGCCCTGAGCTACCAGACAGTCTTCCAGAGAGCTGCACAAGAACATCACGCAAACATTCACAGGATGGCAACCTTTATGATGGACAATAGCTAATTGTTTCTCCCAACAGAAAACATCAGAAGATGAAGAAAAGATGTTAGGGAGGATGCGTTGATTCATGCAGGCTGGATAAAAGTATCACTTCATTACTGATGTTGTAATTTTAAATAAACAGGCTTGTTCACTAGGGACGGGAGAACCATGAAACAATCATTAAAGATTAGAAAAACTACAGTATGAAAAGTACAGACCGTGGCTGCAGTGGACACTTGTTGTGGTTTTCAACACTCGGGTCGTATTTAACAGTCGCTGACAGACCAACAACAGCACAAGCAGGAGTAGCCCACAGACCGGTTATACCACATTTTTCACACTGCCTACATCTACAACTGACACAGTCTGCAGGTAGATGGCCAGTTTGCTTAGCATTTAAAGAATTTGATCAGCTCTCGTTTTGGCTGCAGATACTTCAGAGCCAGTCACTTGGAAAGCTACAGTGCTACAAAGCAATATCCTGCCTACAGTGTGGACGCAGTACGCCCCCTTCTGTATAAGTTGCTGAACTACATCACTAGACATACACCCACCGAATGACTTGATCTTTAGCTTGCAGTGCTTGGTTGAATCTGGCTGTTTCGTTACGAAGTCTTTGGTGCTCAAGACTGGCTTGCCGCACAAATGCATCCTGGGAGTCCAGCTCCTCCCATTCCTCAGAAAGCACCTGCAAAACAGCGGATCATCAGCTGATTAAAAGATATCTTAACCTGCCACCTATGAGGAACTTTGAGCTTGTAAATGCTTAACTGAAAAATCAACATTAAGAGGTTTATGGGCACTGGATTAAATGTTGAAGCTCAGTTTCTCGACACTGATAAAGTTGATCGGTAGACTAAAGTCTTTTTCATTTTCTTTCAGGCTTAATACATGTCGGAGAAACTTGTTGTGAGTGTTGTTTAATTGAAAATCTTCAGTCCTATCACCTTCCTCAGGTTTCTGAACCTACCTTCCAACTCTCAAGTGGTCGGAGACGCTCCAGTTCCAGCTCCTGCGTGTGCAGACTTCTCTGAGCTTTTTCCAGCTGAGAGCGCAGGCGCTGCACCTCCAGACAGCAATCCCTGTGCTCCCTCTCCACTTGGTGCGCTGCCCACTGGGACTGGAAACAACAGAAAACACGTGGTGAATAAAACAAACAAGCCTCTGCTTTCTTTACATGCTGAAGTCACTGAACTTACTTTTATGTGTGAGAGCTCATCTTTCAAGCTCTTATTCTCGGTCTCCAGGATTGTGAGCTCCTGCCGGCTCTGGGTGCGCTGTTGCTCCCACTCCAAAGAGCGCTGATGATATTCCTGCAGAGAGAGGGGAGCTTCATTATACCTCACATACCCAGAAGACGGCAGCAATCCAATGGCATGACTGGGGTGATGTCAGGGTTCACCTTCTGGAGGTCTGTCTCTTTCACTCCTGCGTTAGCGTCCTTGAGGTGTTTGCGCTGAAGCTTATGGTAACTTCTCTTTAACTTATCCAACTGCAGGAATAGAAAATCACTTACTATATTTGAAATCATGCAGGAGAGTGAGTAAAAACAGAAAAACTGTAAACTTCTGCCCAAGCAAAAGCAGAAAAGATTTGTAACAGACAAGTTTTTGCACCTCTTCACGGAGTTTGTGCAGTTGCTGCTCGTACTTGGCGGCTAACTCTTGTGGACCCGTCTTGACATCTTCAAGCTGCTTGTGGAGTAATCCAATCTACAGTCATGGGTGAGGACAGTAATGGTGTTGGAAAGAGTTAATATGAGCACTCAATTTATGAGCTGTGTTAGCAACTATCTTATATTGAGGCTATGCTCATTACCAGCTGCATATTTTTATTTTTGGTCTCTACTCAAAATGCTCTTTATTTATTCACACTGAGCCTTGACGCACCACCCCACTTCATCGTTGGTGCCCCACAAAAATTCCAGGTTCACAATCTACAAATTTTATCATCATCAAATCATCAACAAAAATAAAGGATCCAAATCTAGTTTTACTTAAATAAAGGCTAATTTAATCATATCAACAACATCCATTTTTCTTTTCCTCATCTGACGTTGCTTTGTGGCGGCAGCAGACAAAGCAACGCCGCTGGGAAACCTTCAAAAGGGAGCAAGTGTCCTGATTAGAGGCCATCTCAACTTGCTCTTTTTAACAGCGAGGAGCAGTGCCTCGACTCTGAGCTCCCTCCAGATGTCCTGGCTCCTAATCCTACTGCTACGCCCAGACTCACTTCAGCTGCTTGTATCTACCACCACACTCGTTAGGTCATTCTCCAGATTTCAGCACGCACTTTAGGAGTTTGCAGGCACATCACACTCCACGTTCCCATCACTTGTGACTAAGATCATAGCCTCAGACTTGTAGGTGCATGCCCTCATCCTGGCTGCAAACTGCTCCAGTGCATGCTGATGGTCATGCTGTGATGAAGAACAATATCTGTTGGATGCAAATTGACTGAATAACCTCATCAGGAATGCCGAATCTGTAGTCGGCGTGAAGCTCATCAGCCTGGAGATTCTTTTAACCTCACTGTCTGAGAGTCTGCTGCTATCAGACTCTTTAATTCATCTACTTGAGTCAGACCCACACATACTGATCAAGACTAAACACACCTCACTGCACTCTGCCACAAAGTATATGTGCACACCTAGCAGCACCTTTGACCTGTTAATGTCCCAGAAACATTAATGTTAATACGTATGTCCTTTTATATTTATATCTTGAGGTTTCGCTGATCTGATCATTTGCACAACACAGGGATGTGATTTTGAGGTTCCCACAATGGACACCACCTAACACCGGCTACACTTTGACATCCTGTCCACAAACATCACTAACAGGATCGAGGGAGGAGTACCAACACTGGATCAACACGTGTACACATCATCATTTATCTTTTAGAACTTTGCTCCTATTTAGTATAAACTCATATTCTCTTCTATTTCACCTCCAGGTCCCTCCGTTCAATTGTGCTCCTTGAGTTTAAAAGTTCCTCTTCTCTACTTTTCAGCCTGAGCTCCAAGGCGCGGTTCTCATCTTCCCACTTCTTCTTCTGATCGTTGATCATGATGTCAATTTGTCGCATCAGTTCCTGAAGCTCCGGCTCACACGATGAAAGGACTGAGCTGAAAGACAAAGCCAAATAATGAAAAGGGTGTAATTTCTGTAAATGCTCATGGCCCAAGTTAGTTCTTTAAGCGCAGTGCAACTTACCTCAGATCAGGGCTGTGCATCGACCCCAGAAAAGCCTCCATCTGGTTCAAAGTAACGTCAGCCCTGTTAGTAACTTAAAGCGGACTTGCTTTACGGGTGCTTCACGTGCCCTTTCCCCACGCAAGAAGTTTACTATAACTTAGCAACCATACACGTTACTAGCAACCCATAATACACAGCGAGCTAAACCATGGCTGACCTCACTGCTACACGGAGGTGGTTTCTGCTTACAGCATTGTTAGCTCACGTTAGCTGCTGGCTGTGGCTGGTCCGTGTCAACTCATCCAACTTTATTTGTTTACATCACTAGCTGGACTGCCGAACAGCGCGCTTCCTGAGGTATGGCGGTAACTCCACCACTGCATGTGATGTCAACACGCTGTACGTAACTTCAGAGCACAGGAAGCAGCTTGTTTAAAATACTCAAAACAGACCTGTTATCCACACGCCTAGCTATGAAAGTTCGTGTTTGGAAATTCCCTGTTGTCTGTAACGATTTTTTAACAAATATTATCATAATATAAGTAATCTTGTTGGCTTCTTAGAAGATTAAAGGATATTGTCAGACATTCTATGAACACGTGGCTCGTTGGTCTAGGGGTATGATTCTCGCTTCGGGTGCGAGAGGTCCCGGGTTCAAATCCCGGACGAGCCCAATTTTTGTATCGTTAAGGACTGTTGACATATTTACTTCAAACATCTGCAGTGAATTTTTGTGGAGTCTACGTAAGTGGTCAGCACTGCTACCAGTTTTCAAGCTAATGCGCGTTTTCACTTCTGAATTGGCTTGTGGTTGTGTTCTGGTGTTCTGGGAATCCGTCCCACCACACTAAAAACTCTACCCGTTGTTTCTGCGCATGCGCAGCGCGTGCGCAAAAACACAAACCCCAAATTGACTTCATTTTTTTAGGCCAATGTGAATATTTGTTATGGTTATGATTAGGGTTATGGTTACGGTTTGTCAGAAGTCACTTTCAAATTATCATACGTATAGGACGATTTGCCAAAGTAGGACGGTCTCAGAACCGGTGATTTATATGCTGTGCCAGTCACGGTAGAAACCAAGAAAATAGTGTAGGGTCCCTACTCTTTGTGGTCAGCTGTATTTTTGGAAGGAAAAATATTTCTTACGTCGATTCCGTCCAAACAGTTCTCAGGAATTTGCTGACATCGGTTAGTCCTTATATTGAGGTTGCGATTATATTCTCTTATAGCGATGCGATGATTGTTGATTAAGTACATTCATGGATGTGTTAACATATAAAAACGCTACCACGGGATTCCCTGCAACTGGCTCGTTGGTCTAGGGGTATGATTCTCGCTTTGGGTGCGAGAGGTCCCGGGTTCAAATCCCGGACGAGCCCTCCTTTTCTATTTTTCCTAAAGGATATCAACCCTTTTCAATTTATCTTGAAACATAAGGATGTTTTTAATGTTAAAGCTAACTAGATTACTTTTTCTGTTTGACTACACCCGCCTTCCATTGCGTCATTTCCCCGTTTCTCCACCTGCCTGTTGTCAAACACTGAACAAAGAGCGTCCCAGCCGCTCTGCTTCCCCAGCTGTTATGCTGGGTGGGTATGGGGCCGTGAGAAAGAGAAAGAGCTAGAGACGTTTCTGTTCCGCCCCCACAAACCCAACAGACACTCCTAACAGGAGGCAGACGAGCCGGCTTTCTGACACCATTTACTGCAGAGAGGCTGAGCTGTGCAGCCAAAGACGGACAATAAATTACATGCAAAGGCCAGCTGTAAGTACACTCTTTATTATTATTATTGAAACATTTTTCTTTCAAATCAGCATAAGATAGTAGATGGTAGTGTATTTTGGTATATTGCTGTCCTTTCTAATCAGCTCCATTGTCTGGAATAGAACATCAATAATCCTACAATACTCCAGATTAACCTTTATTTAAATATTAAATTATTAGATCTTAATTGGACATCTTAACTACAAATGTAACTTAAATTTGATGCAACAATGCTTCTAATAGCTAATAAAAATGTTTTTTTTAATGTATTAGGGAGTCACTTTGGTGAGCTTGGGACCTGCAGGAGCCATCATCTTCACCATTGTTTCTAAACACCGGACTTGCAGAAAGCCTTTTCACACCCATTAAAAATTTAGATTTTGTAGAAAAATCATTCATTCCACAAGTTGTCGGGGTTGACCATGGTTCTCTGTGAGGATGGCGACTGTAGCGTCTGCCTGTTGCCCTACTCCCGGGTGGAGAGGATCCCCCGGGTGCTCCACTGCAGGCACACCTTCTGCGATTCGTGTCTGGAGAGGATGTCAACGGAGAGGAACGGTCTGCTCACCGTGGGCTGCCCTTTGTGTCGCCGGGTGACCTGCATAGGCCGAGGTCGAGGTCTTCGAGAAGCTCTGTGGGTCAACAGCAAGCTGTGGGACCAGATACCGGAGGATGTGGACGTAAGAGAAGAAGAGGAAGAGGAGGACGGAGAGAAGCAAACAGCTGCACAGGAGAGGATAGAAGATAAACAGTTACAAGGAGAATGGTGGGTTTATCATTTTGAGTCTTTAAACATTACAACGTGGAAGTTGAGGACTGTAAATGTTTTAAATGGCAGAAAATGAGAACAAAACCTCTTTGGAGGGAGTGCTGAATATAAAATTCCTGTCATACCGAGTCATTTACACATTAGTGCCGAGCAGTCCATTTGTCCACACAGCTTCTCATTAGCGCCTCGGCTCTACAGCATTCTTCCCAAAGCCCAGTCTGACATGAGAGTCTTTTCTCTTTTCAGCATTTCCTCGAGATCTGCCAGAGCGAAGCTCAAACTGCCCACATTCTTCAGGAGGTTCAGCCTGACGAAGCAACACCAAGAGAGAATCGTGTCTGGCAGCAATGTGTACGTCCTGAGTTTGTAGCTTTTATTTACAGATTATTAGTAAAAATGATCACTTAAATTTTTCTGTTTGTTTCATCTTAAAGGGAAATGAAATCCTGGCGCAGACTTTCAACAGAAGAGACTTTTTAAAAATACGAAAACTGACAAGTGGCCGCTCTCAGGAAGAGAAGACACAACTTTGAAGGGAAGCTGTGGTCGCTGGGGGAGGAGGATTCATTTGTGATCCTGTCAGGACACGGTTTTGTCCTCAGCCAAAGGTGCTCCGTCTCCCCATTATTTATTCTAGGATTAATTCTCCCAGCCGTTGCTGTGGGATTTAGTTCAGCTGTCCCAGAGCGGCTAACACCCGTAGACCTAGACCCCCTCAGAACAGATGGTCCCCTCTCCATTTCAGCTCCTGAATAGCCATCATAACTTATTGTTTTCTGTATTTATGATAGCTAGGACATGAAGTATTTAATAAAACTATTTTTGAAACAAGTTTCCATTGGGTTTTATTGACATCTGAAAGAATCATGAGCTTTCCTCCTTTACCGCATGCACCATTTATGACACATGAAGTATTTAAGTGAGTGAAAAAAGTGAAGCCAGGAGGGGATTTCTGAATATAATTTCTGTGGAGAAGACGCACAACAAAAACCTGCCACAAAAGACTCATTCAACCACGAAAGTGGATTATAAAACTCCATTCACCGAGCATCTGGCACATATTCCACGTTCAATGATATCTGCAAACTGGATCATCACTTTCTTTTTGTTCCACCTTATGTGCACGTTAAACCCGCCCGACATATTTTAAAGAAGATACGTTAAGAGGACTATGATGTGCTTGTTGTCTCAGTCACATTAAGGTCAGTGCTGTTTGGATGGAGCTGAAAATCTGTTAGTTGTCACACTGGTTTGGACTCAACTGTTAGCCTGCACACTCTTAGTCATGTATTGGCAGGCGGTATGTTATTCTGCCTTTATATACCATATTCCCACGTTTAAGTGTTAAATGACTGCCAAACAGGAAGCTGCTTCCAAGTTCAAAACAAGCTGGCAGCCACGGGGGAGGGCTGGACGGGAATGTATCACGAAGGCAGCAACAAACAAACATGCACACGCATGACTGTGTATGGGAAAGAACCAGTTTCAGTTTTGCAATGTATTTACTGGCTCTCAGTGCAGGCCTGATGGTGGTAATCCCCAAGATTAAAGCTGAACAGAACAGGAAACGACTCCCAGATTGTCTCAGCAGTGGTGGGATAATGTAGATAACTGACTTCAGTCGGATTTGGAATGCTAAAATATAAAATTACACTTTTCCTGGAGGATAATTTAGGCCTAGCATCAGAATTAAATACTGTGGTAAATTACACCAACCTAAAAACTGAAGGCCCGCATAAGCACCTGCAGGTTTCTTTGGTCAGACTGATTAATGAGGCAGTTATTTACCCCGGAGCCGCAAAAATATTTTCAGCTCCAGCGGGGAAACTTTGCAACAACGTCATGGTGTAAGATCATTTCCTCAGTACTGCATTGCAAACAATAGTACATTCCTGTTTGAGTATCTGAATTCACACAAACACTCGCAGTACAGAATAATACGTCTGGGATTAATTAAACAAATTAAAGATCAACTTTCATTCTTGTGATTGAAACACTACATTATTACCTGCACAGGTGGCCTAGAAAGAGTCACCATTTAGTTTCTGTTTTACAGCTGGAAACAGTAATGAAATCAGCAAACCGTCATGAGTAGAAACTGGAGATAATCGTTATTGAGTCAAAGTAGAAACCATGCATGCCACGACACGTGTGATAACTCGACACAATAATTCTTTATTGTGACCTACACAATGAGAGAGTGCACATAACAGCAAGCTTAAAGTCATGACAGTACAGCAGTTTTAGCATTATCCAATCATCTCAGGGTTTTTATTGCGTCCCATATTTTTTTGTGTTGTGGTTTTCAAAAGGTTAAAATTTAAGACAGACACCTTTTGAAAGTCTGGCTTTTATCCAGTGTGTATAAAGGAAACCTTTGATATTTTCTGTTAGTAATACAAAAAGAAATTTTTAATTTACTGTATCATTGCTTTTTTAGGCTGCCAACAAAGACTTAAACTAAGATTTATTTATTTATTTTTAGGTAGGTGGGAATGGATCTGGGTTGGAAATGCTCTGACCGTTTACAGATTGTTTTACAGCAGCTCTACGTCCTTGTTTCAAGAACGATGACGGCCATGTCCATCTTTTATATAGTCTTTGGTTTTTCTCTGGCTAAGTACGAATGGCCAAAACTGTCAAATTAAAATTATATTAAGAAATACATAAATGACCTATTAAAAATATAAAATTAAAATAACTAAATATAGTATAAAGATACAAACAGGTAGCAATTATTTAAAATATATATAAATACATTGTATTTGCAATTATATTTTTTAATTAATCTTATTTTCAGCCGTTTATAAAGTTCATGAGCGCAGTGATTCAAGTAGAGAGGCTCAGATCTCCTTCTCCCCGACCACTTCCTTCAGCTCCTCTGGGATATTATCTCCAGCGTAGGCCTACCCGGGGCCTCTTCCAGTAAGACATACCTGAAAGCCCCCACCTGGGAGGCACCCCCACACAAATCTTATTAAAATGTTTTATTTATTTAGTTTATTTTGGATTTTTACAGCTTTGGTCGTCCAAAGCTAAGGAAGAAAGAAACGAAGAAGTAAAGTTTATTTAAGAAATGTCCCGTGCATGACTTTGGTAATAAGACATCTTTATTAATCATTTGGAGAGACATGCTAGATTTCTGTACAGTGTGAATGGAAAGCCAGAGCACAGGGCTCCCCCCCCCCACATCCTCAAACACACAACGCCTCCCCCAACAAGACATCTGCTGCATCACTTGGTCCATTTCAGGAGAAATGTTAACAGGAAACAACAAAACAAAGGTGGACTTTTATATTGAAGGGGAATAAATACGAGTGTGTGAGTGTGTAATGATCAATCATTTTGCTGTGATTTGAAACATAAATACCTCCCTCCTCACGAGGCAGCAACACAAAGAGAGTAAACATTACAAGACTTTCATTTTGAGGGATTCAAACTTAAAATCCAACCTGCAAAACAGTATGTTCCAGTCCAGATCTCCCATCATATTTGACCAATCCCGTCTCTCACTAGTCTTATTATTTGGCTCATTATGTGGGTTAGAAAGGTTCACTAGCTTTCACCAGAGTGCTCCCCCATTTATTTTTTTGTGTGGTTTTTTTTGTGTGAACGTGAACAATTCCTACATGTTTGATTCTACTCTAAGACACAGTAAATATTATTATTTTTTAACCATGTTTCTAAAACATCAACATCGTCACTCTAAATCTAAAACATGTTCTTAAAAAGTGCAGGAAAGATTTCACCTCAAAGACAAGTCAAAGTAGTGTTCTGACTGACTTCACAACCGCCACGTAATCCTACGACTCTGGACATTTTTAAGAGCCGTTTGCAACCTTGCATCATACAAACGGCAGCAGTCAGTTTAGGTGCTAGTATGAGGATCCACTGGTGTCAAAATTACATTTGTACGGCTGCTGTCTATGTGGCCAAAACATAGTCGCCCTGCTCGTTTTACCGGATTTGAAAAAACTGGCCGCGTTTTTTTAAACTTTCATGTCTGTTCACAAAAACGAGAGACAAGCAGAGCAGCACTTAAAAAAGACGAGAGCCTCATCCAATATAGGATTTATACTTATTACAAGGGATAAAATAAATAGAAAGACACATGACATCATGGCATCATCTGGAGCAGAGTCAGTCCCAGACTAGTGGGTGTTTTTGCCCAACAGCAGCAGATCTCTGCTGACCCACCTCGGCTGCAGGGTGGGCATCGGACTCGTGTGCCTCTAAGTACAGGGCATTCATTGCTGGTTATGATTTTTCCATTCCTTTATATGACGATAAAACTCGAAACTTGAAACCTGCACTGCAGCCACAGGCGTGTAAAGGAGCACCAACTGTTGGGTACTTTCAAAGCAGAAAAATTAAAAGAGATCTCCAGACAAAAGCTAGGGATCCTTCATCCAGGGAAAACTTGTGACTTTTTCTTCGTCTGCACAGACACCTAGTTGACCGAAGGGCTCTCGCTCAGTCGGCTGTGCCTGAACTGAATTAAATACTAAGTGAGTCTGAGCTTTTAGGGAAGAGCATTTTGACATGTAGCACAGCAAAATCTTTTAAAAAGCCAGCTCTGTAGCATAAATGATGGAAAAATAATGATCAGGTGAGGTTATAGAACTTCAGCAGACTTTTGGCACTGAATAATCATCAGTTGACTTTGCTCTAGACTTTGATCAAAAAAACAAATGAAAGAGACGCAACCTCACCTCATCACTGGACTATGGATTATCTTATATTAGTTTAAGAGACAGTCTGACTGCATCTTTATTTTACGAGAAGCCAGAGTCTGTCCATGGTTGGTTTTTCACCATCATACCGACAGAAGTTTTTACGTCGCTTCACAGTCACGCTCGACAGAATCACTGCAATCATTTGCCTCAAGATTCTGTTGGAAGCCTGTTTGCACTGCATGCATTGCAAACACAGCTGACAAATGCTTAGTGTGTCTTTGTGTGAACATAATTATGGCACAAATGGATCCTCATACTACAAACATAAAAAACAACAACAACAACAACAAAAAAAAACTCATCTCAGTGGGAACACGAAACGACAGTTTCTATGACAATCAGAAATGTCTTTGAATTAAGTGACTGTACATTTACCATGAAGCTTCTCATAACTTCATATTAACCTGAAAGGTCTACATGTGCAAATTAGTCTATTGTCAGGAATGAAACTGATTTACAATGTTAAAGGTCGGTTTGAACACAGAACCGGTCATCAGGGAACTTTAGCCTGTCCTCTGTGACCCAAGGCGAGGGCTTTGATCCTCCGCTGCTCGCTTACAGTAAGTACACTGTATGTGCATCATAATCACAAACACCAAGATACCACACAATGCAACAGCAGCTGACAGGTGAAAACGGTGACCCCGAAGTTGCCGTAATGTGGCGAGGATGATGCGACTTGTCAGTGGCCCTCTATGTGACTGCATTCTAACGTTGCCGATGCAGAAAGCACACGTTTACACCCACACACACGCACGCACACACACACACACGACAAAAACATATCCTCTAGTCAAGTATACAAATCCAGTTCGTAAACAAACAGACAGAAAAAAAAAAGACTTGGACTAGTCGTCATCCGAGTGCATTGAGTCACGGGTGTAATGTTACCATTTACATATTCAAACTTGTGTACACGGGTAAACAGTACCTATGCTTAAAAACTAGGCATGCATTAGATACTCGAGAAGTTCGCTTTGTCCTGTAATGACTCAAACACCAAGTTATGGATCCCACCTGAGTTATGGGCAGAAGGGAAGTTGGAAAAAAAAGGTCTATTAGGAGTTACACAAGTTTTCAGTGGTTGCAGTTTGGGGGATTTCTGTATTTGCCCATAACAGCAGTGGCATCCATAAAAATATATCCAAGCCTACCGTCTCTTGTCCAGCTCTCACACACAGAGCTTGTTGGGTCATTCCATAAAAAACAAAAAAGAAAACAAAGAAAAAGAAAAACAACAAAAAAATAAATCAACAAAATCTTAAAAAGTTCCCACCTGGCTCCCTCAGAGTCAGCACGTTGTGTATGTACAGTAACTTCAAGATATTTACTGAAGTCATGCAGAGTTCTACCTTCAGACTATGAATATTTTCAGGCTTACATAGGCTGACATGTTTAACCCATTTCACAGAACATAACAACACCACTGTTGTTTCATAAGCCACATTCAAGTGTGTTATCACAGGGGGACTCACAACAAGAAGATCAAAATGTAAGTCACATTTCAGATGCTATAACTTATTTGGATCAGCCACGTATCTCACTTTTTTTTTTTAAATTTCTCCACTGAATTACTAGAAATACCAATGATATTTCTGTCACTCTACAGATCCTATCATGTTGACAGCCTAACACTGATTTGCTTTTTTCATCTCCTGAACTTTTATAACAGACAGAAATCAGTAAGGTGAAATAAAAAATGTACTTTAGGGGTCTGTAACTCAGAAAATATTCATAGTATGTGTTAAACACTAATGCTATTGTAACACTAAACTAACACTTAAACACTAATGTTATTCTACACTTAAAAGAAAAAAGCAGAGGGGGCCAGGTGGGAGGCATCGACTGATTTTTATGGAATGACTCTTTTCCGGAGAGATTTCCCTGAATACAAAAATAGAAAAGAAACTGGGGAAACTCTTTAAAAAATGTACACATAAAGCAACTTGGTGTTCTCTCCTCCACAAACATCCTTTTTTAGCAAGTTGTAGGATTTTTCTTTTCTTTTTTTTTTTTTTAAACTTGGCAGTTTTGTTAATAAAACCAGGCTACTTTCGAACCAAACCCACACACTGCTCACTCCAACCGATGACCAGTCGTCAGGTGAGGAGGCCAGATTCGCAACGTGCAAAGTCAACTGCGGTTAACCAATAGGAAGCAACAAAACAAGCATGTGGTGTAAATGATGTTTTCTTTTTTTCCCCCTCAGGATGGGTGCAGAGCATTAACAGGAACAGCCGCCCTCAGTGGTCGGGGGCTCCTGCGGTTTGTCCAACTTGATGTCAATCACTGATGAAGAAGATTAAGGAACCTTTGGGAACATGAAGACTTAAAGAGGAAAAGCCTGCATTACCAGTGTCCACCACTAGATGCTGCTGTTTTTTGCATTTAGCTTTCAATCAACAATTCTTACTGAACATGTTCTTCATGAGTCAACAATAATAACAATAACAATAATAATGATTAAAAATCATAAAAAATGTTTATTTTCATTGTCCTCCAAAAAAGACAATGAAAATGTTTATTTTCATTGTCATAAATGTCAAAAACTAGAAACTTTCAGCTTTATTTTGATTTTATTTTAGATTTTGATGTGGACAATATTGTTTCAGCTTTCTTTTTTCAGCTTATTTATATTTTTTATTTTTATATATATATGTTTTTTTTTTTAACTAAGATGCTTGTTCACGCCTTGTTTTAGCTTCAAGTTTTGTTTCAATTAACCTACAAATGAGGTTTGGATGCACTTTATCCAAAAATCGTTCCCCAAGACACCTAAAGAAAATTTTATGCAACATGAAGAATTACCTTTTAACCAAGCAAAAGGCAAACTATGTGACTGTGTTACTCAGTGTCAAAGAATCGGTAAAGAATTTGACTCGCTCTTGGACGGGCAGACCTGTCATGGTGTTACGGTGAACCTTGAGATTTGACAAACGTGTTTTGTTCATGAGGGTGGCATTACCC